GCCGCGGCCGCGCCCGCCGCCACTCACCTTCCTCCCGCATCTCCTCGTACTTCCGCGCCGCCACGTGGCGCCGCCAGGCCTTCTGGATGGTGCGCGCGAAGCCGTCGAACTTGCGCTCGCGCGTCTCCTCGAGCAGGAAGAGCTGCGGAGAGGGCGGCGTGGGCGCTCCCTCGGGCTGCCGCTCACAGCCCGGCGCACCCTTTGGTCCTCCCGACGCCTGGCCCCAGGGGGCCCTGGCCCCGCGTCCAGCCCCCGCGGGCCGGGCGCCTGCTCTGGACCCGGACCGCGCTTCCTTGCTGACTTAGGTGCCCGCGCGCGACTAGCTGTGCGGTGTCGCGGGGCCCTCGCGCTGCTGGGGGTGGGGGCGGCTGGCACCCGGCCCTAGTGCAGGGCCCTCGGGGCGCGGGCGGTAGTGACCGCACAGGCGCGGGGCGGGCAGGTCAAGCAGCGTCAGTGCGGGGGGCGGAGCGCGGCGGAGGCGCCACGGGGGCAGGAAAGGCGGCTTTTGCAGAAGGCAGAGAAAAGGCTTCTGAGTGTTACGTCTCGAGCCAGAGAATGAGCCCTGGCGGGACAGGCCGGGCCGCGCCGGGCGAGGGTTCCTGGGGTCACCTGGACACCGCACAACCGCAGCGTGAGGGCACCGGGTGCCCGTCTGAGCCGGCGGCGGGGTCGTCTCCGGCTGTGGGCCGCAAAGGCCCTGCCTTCGGGCGCGGGGCGCCGCGGGGCGCGGGCTTGTGTAGGAGAAAAGCAGGCTCCGGCCAGCCTCTGCGGACCGCTGACCCAAGCGAGCTCCAGAAGCTCCCGTGAGGACCCTCACAGCCTGGCTGTGGCAGGTCTTCGCCGCCCCGGGGTGGGGTGCGTCCTGCTCGCCCCCCAGGCCGCAGGCTGTGGTCTGTACAGGCGCGTGCTGCCCTGTCCGGTGTGTCTGGGGGTAGGGAGGTGCGGCGGTGGCCCCCGAGGAGATGACAGGCAGCGGGGGCTCAGGGAAGCGGGCCCCCCGCCCTCGGCTCTTCAGGGCACAGGGAACCAGGGCCCCAGGCTCCCTGCCTCTGCCGGAGGTGAGGACCCGTTCGCTGTGGGGGGGTTCGCTGTGTGAAGAGCTTAGGTGCATCTCATGCCGCAGCGGGCAGGAGTGGCGGGGTGAGGGGTGCACAAGGCCCCCCATCGGGGCTGAGCCTGACAAGAACTGGGCGAGCGCTGTTCCCCAGTTCATGTCCCCCCGAATCTGTGGATGTGCCTTCTCTGAGGACAGAGAAAATCAAGGCAAAAAGAGGTGACCCCAGTGGACACTGTGGTCACCAGGACCGATGTGTGACTAGCAAGGGGGTATGGACACACCCGCCGGCGGTCACCGACGAGGGAGGACGGTGGAGCCAAGCTTGCTCGGTCGCCAGCGGCAGCAGTGGCCAGGAAGGGCTTCCCGGGACCGGTCAGTGGCACTGGCCCCCGAAGCTGTCTGTGGGTCTGTGTGGGGAAGGGCCGGCTGTGCTGAGCCGCCAGCTGCCCTCTCAGCGCCGGAGGCAGGCGCCCCGGGGCCGCGGGGCCGCTGGACGGCCGGGAAGCACGGAGGGCGTCTCCGAGTTTGTGTTTACAAGGCAGAGTCCACATCAGAAGGCCCCAACCCAGGCGGTTTGCTAGAGAGAGGTCCGCACTGCACCCCGCCGTCTGAGCCTGGATTTTCCTGTTACGCAGCACCGGTGAGCTGTCGCCCTGCTCTTTCTCTTTTCGTGCTATGAAAATCACTCTCATCACGATTGTCTTTTCCCGTGTGAATGTTCAGGGTATCTCTGTCTCTGTAACATTTCCACATATCCACCTCAAAATGTGCAGATGGAAATGTGGGTCACCGCTGGGCTTCACCTCCTGCAGTCACAGCGTTTTATTTGGTCAGTTTCCCCCCAGGGTCAAGGTTTGTATCTCCCACGTCAGGTGACACAAGTTGCCAGAATCGCGGGGGGCTCTGTGTCCGGCCTGCCCTGCCCCTCATGACTCAGCCAGCTGTTCCGGGGCGCCGTGGACACTTGTGGCCTGGGGAGGTCTCGACCAGCCGGAAGGCCACTTAGCGAGCGGTTCTAGACGCGGGTTTTTCCCTGTGAGCAAAGTGCCTCCACGGGGGTGCTGTGGGGGGCAGGTGCGGACGCAGCGCCCGAGGCCTCCGGGTCTGTGCCCAGGGTGTGTTCTGGCCTGTGCCAACAGCCTTCTTCACTGTCTGCCCAGGTGTCGTGGGAGCGGCCATCTTACCCAGCCCCCTGCACCCCGCTCTCCTTCCCCCACTGCAGCTTGTGAACTGGGGGCTCCGGGGGACCGGCTTCCCCGGGGCGTCTGGCGAAGCAGCTTTCTGCCCCTGCGAGGTGGCAGCTGATGGCCAGCTGGCACGCACCGGCTTCCCGCTCCAGGTTTTTGTCCTTGTCATTGTGGCTTTAAGAAACACCCCCAGCTTTGTTGAGCTGTAGCTGAGAAACCACACAGCTGGCTCCGTGCAGTGCGCAAGGCCTCATCTGCCACCTGAGGGGTGCTCGGCGCCGTCCCTGCCTCGTGCGCGGGGACCCTGGGGCGCGCCCGAGCTGCCTGCGGCCGGCGCCCAGCTCCCTCGCCTGCCCGTGCTGTCCAGGTCCCCGGCACCTGCTAGTCAGAAGCAGAGGCGGCGCGGCCTCCCGCGCTAGGGGCCTCCGAGAGGTTCCGGGAGCTTGCTCACAGCTCGGGGGTGAGAAATGAGGTTTGTTTTGGCAGGCGAGGGCTGAGGCAGGTCTTGCAACAAGAGAATTTGACCTGAGTCTCCGGGCGTTTGCGAGTGACGGGATGAAGAGAGAAAAGAAAGGCGTGGAGGAAAGATGGAGGGAGCCAGGGATAAGGCCGCGTCCTGGAAAGCTGCGTGCTGCTCCCTTCCAGAAGCTTGTCCTCGCTTGCCCAGGGCTCCTGCGCCCTCCCCAGCCCCCGAGAAGAGCTCGCCGGCCCCTCTGAGCCCCCCCTCCCGGCAGGGACTGAGGGCTCCGTCGAGCTGTCCCGCAGGGCACTGTGGCCCCCCCGGCTCCCCACATGGGAGACGAGGCTCGGCGGGGCGAGGGCTGTGCCTGCAGTCACAGCGGAGCGGCGAGGAGCGGGACCTGTGCCCGCCGGCAGGCGAGGCGGTGTCTGCCGGCCTGGCACGCGCTTACCGACTCGGGGTTCTTGACAAACACCTTGCTGCTCCCCATCTGGTACTGGTCCTGCTCCATGTGCACGGCCCGCAGCAGGTGCTGCACGCCTTGGCGCTCGTCGCCTTGCCAGTGCGGCCACGTCTCGGGGGTCAGGATGGCGTACCTGGGCGGGGCAGGGTGGGGCTGGCAC